GAATTTCAATGGTGAAGTCCTCTGGAAATCTTCAATAATTGTTGTTGATTGCAGATGTGTCTAGTAGTTCCCATTGATTTAGCTTGGAAAGCGGGGAGAATGGCGCTAGGCTTACCACACTGGTCACTGTGTTTTTAACGCTAAATTCATTAAATCACCGCAAACATATTAGTTTTAGGTATAAATATTGATTAATTGATTATACCTTGCTGACCAGACTTTTCCTTTTAATCCATTTAAATTTGTATGTGGGAGTTTTTCTCTCCACTGTTGCTGCATGCTTGCTCGCTTTGAGCGATTGTCTCACCTATAGTCTCTACCTGCTCATCCAGGTGGAGAGAATCCTGCAGAGTCAATGACTGGAAGCCATCGGCTGCTTTTCTTAGAAAATTGAACCATTCTGATTAAATCGCTTCTATAAAGTGACCTGAGATGACAGGCTGTGAAATTGCCGTTAAATTAACTGAATTTCTTTTCTTTTTAATCAGTGATTAAAAAAGACAGGTGTTAACAGGAGAACCTGACAGACTGAAGGTTATTTGACCTAATATTACATAAACATAACAGCATCTAGGCCGTTTAAAGTTGGCAGGAAGCTCATCCGAAATCTTCCATTTTATTTTCATCTATGAATGAATTTCCATGGTTTTGGTTCCGGGGTCCAACTGTGACCCCGCCCCTTTGGATCAGTGTCAGGGGAACTCACCTCCTCAGCCTGCATCATCTTGAACACTTCCCCAAACTCGGAGTTCTCTCCGGTTCCGATGACGATGCCCTGAGGAACAGGAAAAAAAAAAAGTAAAATAAAATCCAAAAAGCTCCATAAGGAAGCAGAACCTAAACCGGTGAACCCAAAAGTCCTGCTGGTACCTTGGCTTTGCCGCAGCGAACCAGCGTTCCCATGAAGGCGATGTTGCAGCGGGAGGAGAGGTCTCCGTTGGAGGCGGGCTGCTGGGGGGCCGTGGACTTGGTGCTGGGATGAGTCTCCCCCGTCAGGCTGGACTCGTCTATAGAGAGGTTGCTGGCCTGGAGGAGCAGAACCCAGAACAGACTGATCCAGTTCCTCTGCTCGCTCCAACCTTAATCTGCTTCTGCCTACGACAGCAGAGCTATGGACTGATTTGTTTTAATGCTCTTAGAAATAATTTTAATGNTATATATATATATATATATATATATATATATATATAAAAAATGCAAAATCCTTCGATCCTTCATCATCTTTACTGTCTACTACATATCTGACAAAACTGTTTTTATAAAAAATTTTTTTAAATAAAGCATTTGAAATGCTACAATAACCACATTTAATGAATTTTATTGCTAATTAAGGCCTACATTTGCAAAAAAATTATAATTCAATTACTTTTAAAGATTAGGGAAGGGATTTTAAAACAGTTTCCTGGTCAGAACTGGTTCCGTTTGTTCCAATTCCATGGCACCGTTTGTAAACTCGCTTACCGATTCCAGGCAGCTCCAGCGCCTAGCGCTGGGCAGCACGACCTACGTCATGTTTTCTACGCAAGTCACGTAACATTTTTTACGCAAGTTACGCATACGGCATTCAGTAAGCAAGTACGATGTGACCAGGCGAAAGTCTAGAAAAGCAAAACAAAAGCGGTCAAAGCGACTGAAAGTTTGGCTTCATTTTAAGGAAGAGAAAGATGGCAACAAGGCGCTTTGCAATCATTGCAAAGTGGCGATAACATCTGCGGGAGGAAATACATCCAACATGCAGAAACACCTGCGCACATTTTAAAATTTTATCGTGTTTTTGATGCTTCTGGACAGAAGCTAAAGTTACGACCAGCATGGAAGGAAACTCTGGTGGTAAGTAGCTAGTTTATATCACTGGCTGAGATCAATGTGGTTCCTAGTAAATCAGATGCTATTTCTGGAAATAAACCAGTTTCCTACCTTTCTTTGGGGTTATTAAGGGATTATGCCTTTCTCGTTAATCCAGACCTTCATTGCTAGCATGTGTAATCAGAATCACTGCTCGCTGGAATTCATACATGACTCTAGCTATTGCAATGGATGCAACGAAACATGCTACCAAGTTGCTCCGCAGTTCGGGGAGCGAGAGAAAGGTTACGCTCGTTTATTTCAGTCAGGGGGAGATGAGTTTATTTCCCATGCCTTCTCCATTTGATTTAGATGACTGTGAGGAGACGGGTAGCCTGGCTGGATCAGAGGCTGCAGCTCCCGTTCACTGCCTTCTGGTTTCACCGAGGCAAGCAGAGATAGAACGTCCCGGGAGAAGGTAGACGAATGTCACCGCGCACTAACCGAGTTCATCGTTTCACAGAATCGATTAGAGAATCAGAATCATGAAAATCTTATAAATTCCGAATCCTATTAAAGATTTTTATGACCCGCAGAAATCATGTTACACCAGAATTCAGATATTATAAATTATGCACTTGAAATAAGAGACTGCCCATAG